AGGTCATGTGACCCACTGACTTCAAATTCGTGTCAATCTACTCAGCTAGTCTGGACAAATGAGGCACACCAGTTTGTATTCCATTCTAGCCATTTTAAGAATTTGTATGATTATTTACATTCATAAATTATTAGTATTCTTCAATAGCTTCAAGGTCATATGACACAGTGACTCCAAATCAGTGTCAAATTACTCAGCTAGTCTGGACAAACGAGGCACACCAAATTATTTTCAATTTTAGCGTTTGTAATATTTTTTATGATTGTTTATATTCATAAATTATGAATAGTCTTCAATCGCTTCCAGGTCATGTGACCCACTGACTTCAAATTAGTGTCAAATTACTCAGCTAGTCTGGACAAATGTTTTAAAATAATGTAAAAAATGTGGAAAATAAAACTGTACATAGTTTTTGGCATAGAAGCTATTAAAAAATATTAGTAATTTATGAATATAAGTAATCAACAGAAATATTAAAATAGCTGAAATTGAATAAAAATTGGTGTGCCTCTTTTGTCCAGACTAGCTGAGTAATTTGACACTGATTTGAAGTCAGTGCGGTCACATGACATGGAAGCTACTGAAGAATATTCATAACTTATGAATATAAATAATCATAAAAATTATTACAAAGGATAAAATGTAATAAAAAAGGGTGTGCCTCATTTGTCAAGTGTAGTTGAATAATTTGACACTGATTTGGAGTCAGTGGGTCACATGACCTGCAAGCTATTGAAGAATATTCATAATTTATGAATATAATAATTCATAAAAAATATTACAAAGGCTAAAATTGAAAATAAATTGGTGTGTTTCATCTGTCCAGTGCAGCTGAATATATCCACACTGGTTTTTAGTCACGAGGTCACAAAATAGAAAATGTATTAATTTTGTGTTAATGTTTCAACAAGGTGGATGTCCTGAGCAGAACATCCATCCATCCATCCATTATCTATACACCGCTTAATCCTCACTGGGGTTGCGGGGGGCTGGAGCCTAGCAGAACAATAATACTCTTTTGCAATTTAAATTGTAAATGTAATATGAGATTTGTCAACAAATAAGAAAGCATATGTAGCCCAGTTTTAAAAAAAATCAATAAATTGGTGTCTGAGATAGATAAATAGGGTTTGTTTTAAAAAAAAAAAAAAAAAGAAAGAAAAAATTAAAATACACATTTTCTATAGGTCAGATGTAAATTTAATGGCAAAGAATATTAGAAATGTTTGCACGTATTCTTATTTTGCTTCTTTTCATGAAGACTTCTAATTTTATGTGATATTTTTTCCACACAAGTGTATCAGATCACATGGGGCTTTTTGCTAGTTAACTGGCTGGGATGACTGAGAATGGAAATAAATGGGTGAAGAAGGCAAAGTGGAATTCCGAAGATGTCCCAGACAAGTTTGTATTAGCTTAATCAGCAAGATGTATTGTCAGATAATTGTTAAATAATCTGCAAACTCTTACGCTGATGTGAATGTTGTGCTGTTGTGAGTAACAGAACTTCCTAAAGTCAGAAATTTGCTGTGTGAGTCTATCAGACTGTAGACTGCTGCTAGCTCACCCAGCTTGACATCGTAGCTTTATTTGCACTGTTTTTGATCTGGAAACAAGGTTGTTGAACAGCCTAAGTTGGATACAGGAAAATTCCGAAGTTGCTGAATCCCTTGGAGTACCCATTATTAAAAACTGAAAAGGGTACAACACATGCAGACCATCCTCAACAACTGAGTGACCATGCAAGAACAAGACAAGTGAGCGAGGCCACGAAGACACCAATGAACGACAAAAGGAGTTGCAAGTTTCAGCAGCTTCGATGGGAGAGACTGTGCATTCAGCTGCTGTGGCCTGGGATCCTTTCCTGTCAAAAATTTACATGGCGTGGCAAAGACAAAGCCTTTGTTGGAAGAATCTGTGCTTGGTGGACACCAAACACTGCACATCATCACCTCCCCCACTATGACGCATGGTGGTGGTAGCATCAGGATATGGGGATGCTTCTTGGCAGCAGTCCCTGAAAGTCTTGCAAAGACAGAGGTAAAAATTTTAAAAATGCAGCTGAAAATTGGGAAATTCTGGAGGAAAACCTGATACAGTCTGTAAGACAACTGCCACTTTGGAGAAGATTTGTTTTCCAGCAAACAGAGTCCTGAAGCAAACAGCCAAAGCTACGCAGAAATGGTTTAAAGACAACAAGGTAAATGTTCTGGAGAGGCCAAAACAGATTCCAGACCTCAATCTAACTGAAAACTTGTTGCTGGACTTGAAATGGGCTGTTTCCTCATGATCCCTTGTGCAACCTCATAGAGCTTGAGCAGAGAATGGGGTAAGATTACAGTGGCCAGATGTGCCCGACTGACTGAGACCTGTCCACACAGGCTCAATGCTGTAGCTGCGCCACATTTGCTTCCACTAAATACTGACTTGAATGGGATAAATACTTACGCAGTCACTTATTTTATGTTTTACATGTTCAGTGTATCAACTTTACTTTGTAGAAATGTAGTCTCCACTTTGACATAAAAGAGGCTTTCTTTGTTAGTAATGTCAAAGAAACCAAAATATATTGACTATTATATTGAGTATGATTCAATGTTGAAAAGCAACCTTACTTAAATACTTTGATAGGCACTGTAACTGTGAGAAATGTTGAAAAACTGTAACATTAATTGAGTTTAAGAGAATTTTCTTGAGTCATGTTCTTTGTTTCTTTCAGTGGCATTCTGTTCCTGGTAAATTAAAGTCAAGGTGTGCTGACACAAGTGAGGTTTCACCTCGCATAGTTGCACAAACTTGTTTAATAAACTCTGTTTTGTTGGAATTTTTGAGTATCTGCTTCTCTATATTTCACAACTGTAAGTAAATAACCAGTATCAGTCATTTCTGTTCTTTTTTCCCTTGTACTTCCAGTAGTATAAATCTGGTTGAGAACAGCTGTGAGTCCGTTTTAGTTTTAATTCAATGATTGAATGATCATGAAACATCATTCAGCCCAAAAAGTGAGGGAGTATAAAGTATCAGAATCAAACTTAAAAGTCACGGTGTGTTATTAACAGATGTTTTCAGTTCATCCACAGTGTTGGCTGGGATGGGCTCCAGCCTCCGGTCACCATCTACAGAATAAAGCAGGTATAACAGAAGGACGAATGTTTTCACTGGTTTCCCATTTCCATTTCCCCTGTACGCTAATTTCTTGTTTTTGTTTTCTATCATGTTCCATTTCTTACTCCTTCTTACATTCCTTCTTTTCTAACTGTTCATTCAGCGCTCTTTTCATCCATATTTCCTACCTGTCCTTTCAGTGTATCTAAATGCCTTCCAGACTTTAAAACACATACACCACCATGATGATATCATTACATTTGAATCTCAAGGATTGGCTGTAGTCAGTTACAATGATGTTAAATAGTCCACTGGGGCCCACATTGTCCTAAGACTGGTTTCGGTATCCTAATAAATCCAATCACAATTGAATTGTCTTTGTGGTAGTCGTGGTGTGATCAAGAACATCTGCAGTGCCCAGAGTCTTCCTGGGACATTTAAATAACAGCCGTAGTCTAATCATTTTCTCTGCTTCTCTCAGCTTTACTCCACAGACACAACATGACTGGGTTTGGTTTGGTTAATTTGCTTTGGTTTGTACCTTACAGCAAGTACACAGACATTACTCACATGTACTCACCACACACACCACTGGCTCTACTGATTTTCACATACTTGTATTATGAGTATTATGTTTTTCTTTGTTGAGGACACTTGAGCCAGCTCAGAACAAATGGGTACACATCTGGGATTTGAACCCCAGACTTTTCACACCATAAATATGAGTTATACCCCCTTGAACCAGATCATAACCATGTCCTTCACACTGCCACCCCGAGTGTTCCCCTGAGAGCAGCCAGTGGAAGCCATAGCAATGCAATACAAAATACACATACAAATCCTAACAGTAGAAAACACCTGAGGGTGGTTAGCATAGTGATACACCGAGCACAGTTTCCCCCTTAGCAAGTTTCGCAAAGAACCGCATGTTAAATCAGCCAGCGTGTACAGTGTAACCTCATTATTCAAGTGAACGCAGACCTACCAGAGCTTGAACACCCTCCACTACCATTCAAGTTTGGTATAGGCACAGATTCTCAGTTATTTACAATGACCATGGACAAAGGTGGATCAGAAGAAAGGTATATGCTGACACTGTTCAGCTGCCATCAGGTATTCCTCACTCATTTAAGACATCAGTAGTACAAGCAAAAAGCTTCTGTAGCATTTCAGCAGCCTCTTGGTAACAATTCAGACCAGGCTAAAACAATAAATGTCACAGCTGTTTGTAAACAGCATGTGATCATACTCTGTCGTTGAGAACACAGGTTTTAAACACATGCTGAAAGTAATCAAGACCTGTATATGGTTCCTTCTCATCTGTGTTTTAATTAGCTAGTCATACTGACCATTAGTAAACGCCACTTACAGTTGTCCAATGCATTTTCTGTCAAATGCAGGTACAGTACGGTTTAAGCGCAGTTAATTTCCTAAATGCTGCACATTTATGGATTTATTATTCTTTAGAATGTTTAGATTTACTTAACTGATGTACTTAATTTAAATCTTTTATTAGTGTATTGCAGCCAGTTGCCATAGCATTAAGACTTTCACAAGAAAGACACTGCCAATGAAGATCTTTAGTGGTTTTAAACTTCTTCAATTTCACAATTATTAAGCCCACGTTTGATACATGTTACTATTATGTGTTACTAAGGCAATTCTGCTCATTAAATATAAATCATCAACACAAAGTGAGAAAAAAATGAAGGGATCTGAATACTTTCTGAACAGTTGATGTTTAACTAAGTCCTTTCTCAAAGACAAAATTTACATTTTTCCTTGTTCAGCTCGGCATGAAAGAGCACCACAGCTGTAATATTTTAGCTGTATTTTTAACATAATAATGAATTCCAGGGAGTATCCTAAAAAAAGAGCTTCCAAAAACACACAACTAATCAATCGGGGTCTTTATTTCTTTGATAAACATTGTGTCCAAGGGTGAAACACACAACATACAGAATCTGTTTACGAGAAACACATTTTTTCTAGTTACACAGATGCAAAAGTTACCAGGAATGGCTATAATCACTTGAAAACAGGGAGTATTATTTGATTTTTGTCTGTCAGAGGGTTTGACCAACAGAGTGAGACTAAAGAATTGAATTTAAGCCTCATTTGCTTTGCTGAAAGACTTCAGAGCTTTACATTTAAAGTATACTGCAGACATGTCAATGGTCCAATGTAAACAAAACAAAAAAATAAAATAAAATTACATGCCATACAAAAAATGTACTAAATTTATGGACAGAATCTTTGACAGTTTGGAGATTAAAAAAAGCAAAATACGTTTTAATGAAGAGAGATCACTCATTTCCTCGTCGACTCTTCTTGTGACTCTTTTTTGAACTCCTATGAGAGGAAAAGATGACAAAATGATTTGGAAAAATGCACATCTAGTTAGAAATAACACACTATACTTCCATATACATTGTTGTGGATTTTATGTGACGTGGAGACACTGGACAGAGAGGAAATATGTGAGAGAGTAGGGGACTGACAATAAAGCCAATGGTCTGGCTGAACCGAGGGCTTGCCAGTCAGGGAGTTTGTGCCCCTGTACTATGTTTTTTAACCAGTCAACCATCAGGTCACCCAGTTTTAGATATTTAAAATTCTCTGAACCCAAAATCACCTGCTGGGAAAGTTTCATGTAAAGCTTATCCAGATCTTTAAAAAAGCATTTAGCAACTTTCTTTTATTAAAAAGGAAAATAATATTTTTCTTGTATCCCTACAAGCAAGGTATCAAAAACATATTTTATTGATACTCGATCAAAACTTACATTTTGGCCATAGTCAAAAAATATCAAGCAATGCTCAATTGTAAATGAAATAATACCAGAAGCAGTAACACTTACCTCTCTGGGGACTTTGAGTGGCTGCGATGTCTGTGGCTTCTGTGGTGACCTGGTTTACAACAACAAAACTTTTATTAGTGATATTTACTCAGACATTTCTGTCCTGTGTAATAATAAATACATTTTTATATTCCCTGTGTTAAACCCCTAATTTGAATCATTAAAATCTGTATAAGCTTTGAAATTAAATTTTACTCATTGTGGGATAATTTTTCACCTAAATATAAAGTTGCTGTCAGTTCTTTTTACTTGGTCTACATCCAAAAGAACATAAATATAGCAAAACCGAACAAATATTGATGAACCCCAGTTTTCCAAAAGACATAAAGTTGATGGCTTTGTTCTGGAAAAAAATACACAGCCAGCTATCACACACTGAACAATACAAATTATGTCAAACCTTCTGCTAGAAAGAATAACTTGTGTATGAAAAGATTAACAACAACAAAAAATTCAGGGACCCTTTATGAACTATGTGAAAGATCTGGATCTAACAAGGAATCATACCAAAGAATAACTGTTTTTGAAGATCATGTAGACTGTAAAGAATAACTCTAGAAGATCAATGTGGATAACAGATACAGATTACCATCTCAGTATTCCTGTCATTTATTTCATTTTTGTTTTGTTCCCTTTAAAAGTTTTTCTCCACTGCTATACACGTAGATCCTGTTACAGCCAAAACATATGCAAGACCAAGCAGGTAAAAGGCTGTAAAGTGATTGTTTGAAAATAAATAAAAATACTGTTGATTTTTTTATTTTTGTTAATTCATTTTAAACAGATACAGACAGATTTAGAATAAGATAAGACAGAACTCCCAGAGTGCAAATTTAAGTTGAATCTAAAAAATAAATAATAAAATAAATACTTTTTTTTTTTTTTTTAATTGCAAAAATCTTGTAAAATTATGAAGAAAGAAAAAGAAAAAACCTTGCAAAAAAGAAATATGACCAGAAGATCCTTTAGACGAGTGGTGGGCAACATAAACTGGGCCACTCACAATAATATTTGGCCTCACACAAAAAGCTGAGCTTTTCCTTTTATAGTTTGATCAAAATAGTTTCTGACAAATCTACTGCAGGTAACGAGGCCCACTTTTCGAAATCCCAATAAAGAGGTTTAATGTAATGTTAGATAGAAAACCTTTATTGTCATTGTATTCAGGATAAACCGAGATTAAGGACGCAAATTCTGCTTGGCGCATTAGAGTTAAAAAATAGACATTACATTACGATATATATATATATATATATATATATAAAACCCAGTAAACCCACCATCAAACCATTTATATATAAAGAAAGGTAGCTGTACGGTAAAGTGTCAGAGCTAATACGTTCTATGTAGTCTACAGTAGCTATTGCACAAGTCCCAATATTTACTTCAAAGTGAAATGAAAAAACACAACATTTAATAAACATAAAATAATATATTATTACTAAAGTGTTATTGTGAATGTTTGTGTGAGTGTGAACTGTTCATTTTGTACACTGACTGAGAGTGGTAATGGCTTTAGGTAAATGTCTGATAATAGTAAAAAAAAAAAAAGACATATCCAACAACATTAACAAAAAAATTGTGTCAAATCAGCTACTTTAGCTCTTTTAGCCCTTGCAAATATCACAAAAATACATCCTTAACCGTAACCCACAAACAAACCTGAAGGAAATTAAATACTCAACAAATAGGAAAACAACATCTACAACACATAATGGATGCCTGCTTCCTAACCACGTTACAAACTGTGTTAGTCCTCCCACTAAATTAACTGGACCAAGGGCTGTACGAACAGCAAACAGCAGATCAGTCTCAGTGTGGACTATGAATGTATTTAGTTACAGTTTACACAACTGCCGCAGTTGAATTTTTTGAGCACTGTTTCCAGTGTCAGCATTCTGTTTAATCTGTGCAGAAGTTAGAGATGATCTAAACTTTTTTTTTGGGCTGTACTTACAGTTATTTTTTGATTAATAGCGTCCTGTTAAGCAGTTTTTGCTTCACAGGTTGATCACATACCAGTGGTGTGTTTTATGCAGTACTTGTTATGATGTGTAAGTACAAATAGTGCTGCGCATTTGAAAACAGTAGTTTTTACCAATACCTGGAAATGTGATTGACAGCATTGTCATGTTTCCTACTTACAAAAAGGAAATTCTCATATTCCCTTTGTGTTTCATTTTCAGAAACTTCCACAACTATGTATCAAGCAAACCACCGAAAATCAGGTTGTCCACTTGGTGACGCTGGGCTCTCTAACAGGAACGCTGTAGCAGTCAATACAAGTGATCGAGTTGGGCTTATAAGGTGGTAAATCCACCAACTGAAGTCAATTTACATAAAGCGTAATGCCATTTAATGGCCCTCTCACACACTCAGTCACCACACTGTCTTGTTGGATATGTAGTTTTGGTGTAAAGCAGATGAAAGGTCAGCTTTGAGATATTTTTCTGGATGTAAATGCTAGTCTTAGTGACTTTTCACTGACATGGACCTCTAGCCTGGAACAATTCTTACGTTGACCCTTCTTTTTGTATGCTCTATACCAAGTGAATCTTTCTCTATTGGTTTGGTTCCATGTTACTGTTACCAGACTGTTTCACAAGCAGTTAGTCTTATTTTCAAACACTGAAAACAGTCATTTTTTCATTCACAGCAATTTCTTATTGCACTAGCACTGTTTGGCCACAGAGGCACACTGTTCTGTCAGTCAGGTCAAAGCAGAACCTAAGAGAACTCCTGGTTTCCCCTCTACTTACCCGGAGATTTGGAGCGGTGGCGTCTGTCTCTGGACCTGCTGCGGTGTCGGCGGGGGCTCTTGCTCCGATGGCGATCTCTTCGAGGCGACAGGCTGTTTGCACAAATTAAAACCCATTTACAGTCTCATTAGAGTCAACAACAAGCACAGTATTTTTAAGATGCTTAAATTTAATGCAAAATAAGCCATACCTTCGCCTCTTTGGAGATCTGCTCCTCCTATAAAAGGAAATAATGAATTTGATTTAAAATTATTTGGAAAACAAATGTATATGCTCAATAGCGGAAAAAGTGTTTACTTGATTTAGAGATGACATTTATCACTGTCTTCAAATATTACTCTATGATCTGCAAAATAAAGGACGAGTAAAACACAAACCGTCTGGGTGAGCGACTGCGTCTGTAACGTGGTGATGGAGATCGACGAGGTCTGTCATTGTCACGGTAACCACGTCTGTGGGGTTCTGGGGTCTGCAGTCTCTCTGGCTGCAGAAAATAAATAAATGAAATACAAGAATGAAGAGACAATGAATTAAATGGACCAACAAGCCCTTCTTTGCACTGATTGAAAGCCAGAGGTTTGTCTAAGTAATGTTACAGGGGCACTGCGCCCTCATATTCCCGGCTTGCGCCCTCCTACCAAAATGCCAATTGAACCCTTAGAGGTCCACCATCACGCCAGCGTGATATAATCATCTGACATGTTCAGGACGTCACAACAGGAAAACTATCATATAGACAGCGATGCTGTCAACTTCTCTCGAAAGTGCAGACTTTAAACTCTCTTCCAGTTTTTGTTTCATGTCGATAGACCACGTAAAACCGGAGATATGGTGTTATTAACATGCATGACAAAAAACGTGTGTAAAATAAAAGCACATGAAATATGCGCTGCGGGCTTCGCGTTTTTTTCAAAATCTCCGTCATTTTTTGTGATCGATTTTTTTTGTGAAAGAAAGTCCCTGGAAGTGCAGCTCCTGCAATGTGGCCGTCTGCCTCATTTTGGACAGAAATTATTTTCAGGAGTGGCACAGATAAAAACTGAAAGAAGCCAAACCTACTTTGTATATAGCTGCATATATAGCTGTATATAATTGTATATATTTGTATTTAATTGATTTTATATTAAATTTACTTTTTCAAATTCACATCTGCAACCTATGGTTACATTTTCAACTTTCAAAATGCTTCATTAAGCATGTTTGTGGTTTCTATTGTCATAAACAATACATTTCTTCAAATCGGATTTTATATTTTTTGTGTGTTTTTGAGTCCAAAATGCTGATATAGTTGGTTAAAGAGAAAAAATAATGGTCAGATCATATAGAGAATGTTGTGCTAAAAAAAAACCAAAAAGACACCAAACATGGGCATGATAAACATGTTTTTTATGTGGTATATAAAGACAAAACTAAATGCAAAAACGGCCAAAACAGGCCAAGACCTCTAAGGGCTAGTAACACTTGGGCCATGTTCTTACATGCTGCCAAAGTAGTACATGTATGTGTATCATGGTGCAGTGCATGGAGCATGTAAGAACATTCCAAGTACTAGTAAATAGAAGTTTTGCCAATACTAGTATTTGTCATGTTTTCATGTACAGAGTACAGTTGTATTATAATTCTAGCCAAACAACAATTGCTCAACAGTTGATAATGTCTTGATTTCTGAAGTTTCATGAGCTAAAAGTTCTCCCTCAGATAGCCTCAGAATATCCCATTTAAGCTTCAATTTTTTCAAAGGCTTCGCACAACTTTTGAGGCCTCTCACATCAATACAATCTGATGTGTGCAAAGTTAGGAAAGCCAAGGTTCTTTGGTTTTGCTATGCCAAAATGGTGATGTGGACTCATTTGTAAGAACACAAAAACTTGTGTACACAGGGGTGGATATATTGTCATTGCATGGCCAAAATTCACGTTGCTTACATGTGGTCTTTATGTTGAAGTATAATAATGAGAACCTACCTTCTTCCCCTACATCATTGTAGTTGGAGCAGGAATGGGTGACATAACACGTGGTACTTGTTTGTTTATGAAAAAACTGCAGCAGGAGGGTTTATTTACAGTTAAATTAATTATAGAAATGAATAGAAGACAAGTATATGTTGCGGTGGTGTGCCTGCTATTTATTTTGTAATTAGGAGCTTCATTCTCTCGGCAGCCACTGACCTTTCTGTGCTGGATAATTAAAAAAAACAAGTATATACAACAGTGCAAACATACATACAACAGGAAAATACCCCTGTGAAATATCACTTAAATATCAAGTGGTTTAAACTGAATGATCCCATAGCAATTGCATTACTTCTACATTAAACAGTAGGGTATTTGCTCTTATGTGAAATTTATGTAAAAACTGTTTGAAATTACTATATTAAAAATACAGGTCCCACAGCAAGAACTCAACCCAACAAAAGTCAGTATACTCTTCATTACTGACTTGCTTCTTCAAGACTTTTTATTTCAACCTTCATTTTTGATGAAAGATTCAATTATGTATGTATGGTGTACACCTGTGTCGACAAATCTTTATCACATGGGAATATTCCTTGTCCTCCTTTGTGCTTCTCTGTCGGGACTATGCTGGCCAGGCTCATACCAAACATGCTGGACCCCAACAAAAGTATCTTAAGTCTTAAGTGCCCAAAAATATGCATCTTATGTCCACCAGGCTTTCTTTCATGCTGTTTAGCAAAACTCTTAGTTTACTATTCACAGCTATTCAAGTAGCACACTGTCCATGGTAATATTTTCGAAGGAAAGCCACTGCTGTTCTGCTGACAAGTGGTATACTGTAGTTCGTTTTAATACCTCCTGATTACTGTTGCAACAGTGTTTCAAAAGTGTTTTAGAAGGTCGGTCAACTCCACGTATCCTTTTCCATCTTTGTGAGGTGTCACAATTAGATTTTTTAATTTTCCATCAGGAGGAGGGATGGGTCTAGCTTGGATTTGATCAATACGGATACCAGTGCAGATCGTGCTTATCGATACTAGTACTTTTTGATACTTTTATCGATACTACTCTCAGTAATTTAATGCAGAAAACAAAGAGAAAATAAGAGAAGCTTTGAAAAATGTTATTTTTGCAACAAACCGGGCAACGTCTTGTACAATTTCTCCTTGACACTGGCCATTCAAATGTCCTTTGATAAACTATTTCCACAAACTGACACAGCTTGCAAGGTATCTCTCCTGGCCTCCTGCGTGACTTATCATGTAGCTATTACTACAAAGGGGTATACTAATTTCTATATAAATTAGACCTATTTGACCTAAAAACAGACAAACAGCTGTTTCCTGTCACAGACTCAGTGATGCATAAAAAGGCAGACGGAGAGACTGCTGCTGGATTTTAATGTTACCACACGATACTTGTAAGAGAGCTTGGCTGCCAATGCTAGAAATGTAGAAGTAAAGAAAATGTAATTATGCGTTTGCAGATAATTTTGTTCCTCGCAGGTTGAAGAAAAAAACGCTGTTTATCGGTAATTGTTGAGCCTAAAGAGCTATGTATCTGAAACTGGATACAAGCAGACTTTGAGGACTGGTAACTAGTTTATTGTAAGCGACCTAAACCTTTATAAACATGTCCCAGAATTTTGAGGAATCTTTTTTTTTTTTTTTGAGCTTTTTTCGCCTTTATTGTATAGGATAGTGAAGAGACAGGGAAACGTAGGGGAAGGACATGCAACAAATGAGCCGCTGGCTGGACTGGAACCACGGCCGCTGTGTCGGGGACTACAGCCCTGGACATGGGTCGCTGTCTTATCCGGCTGAGCTACCAGGGCGCTGATTTGAGGTGTTCTAAATTTTTTTCTTTAATGTTTCTATTGTATGTGCATTGATGGTCTTTCTTTTTTTTAATTAAAGAAACTTTTTTGTTTTGTTTTGGGGTTTTTGTGGTTTTAAAAACGGTTCACAATAAAATAATGCATTTTTAATTCTAAGGATGATGAATGTTAGAAGTGTATTGGAAAAAAAATGTCAGATTTTTGAGTGCATATTTTTGGATCAGATATTCAGCATCGGTGCAGCTCTATCCATAGTATTTTTCCTACCTTTTCTTCTTCCTCATCCTCTTCCTCACTGCTTTCTACTTCATCCAGGTCCTCCTCCAAAGCACTGACCCGTGGGTCCAACATCTCAGCCTCCTCCAGGACTTGTCTCTTCTGTTAGGCACACAATAAAAAAAAAACAATGACAATGACCTATGAAACAAGAGGTGTGTATGAACAGGACGTAAAGGTACCTGGAGTCTGGGCAGAATAATGTCACACATCCTTTCTGCATGAAGAAGCTCATCAATGAACTCATCCACATGCATCACCTCAAACTCTGAAACAAAAAGAAAGAGATGAAGAGAAAATGCTGGTTAAACAAGCCACTACATACTAGTATATCTATAGTGCAACAGATTTTGAAAAAGTTTTTCCTGTAGAGTACCTTCTTGTGACACTTAAAACTGCAACAAACGAATGATTAAAGGTGCAATGTGCAAATCTTTGGACACAAACACAGCAGACAACAACTACCTACTACATTAACAATTTCCCTGAGGTGTACACCGAAGGGATCAATAAAGTTTTATTCTATTCTATTCTTTAAAGAATTACTGTGGTAGTTATGTCCTTTAACAGAACATGATCCTACACCTCCTGTGTATATTCCCAGGTCCTATGTTCTACTTTAAAATCCAAAGAATTTCAAACAAAACCAACAGATTAAGTGAAAATAAACTTACTAATTAAGTTTCATCAATTAGCTATCATGTACACAAATTTTCTGGTTGTAAATGAAAGTGTAGGGAGCAAGGGGATGAGGCTCATTTGCTGTGGTAGCAGATGCTGGTGGTTCTGATGCCACATTTCCATATAGCATTCCGTACTTATGCAAGTCATTTGGAAATCCATTCATTCTGGTGAAAATCACTTTGATTCTAAAGTATTTGTGAAACAACTTCTTCTGTTTTTTTGTTTTCCATTTAAATGTTACACAGAGATCCTTAAGTCAAAAACACTCTACAGCTGCTGGATTTTTTCCATTATTGATGGAGCTAGGCCAGCAGTTTTGCTGAGAGTACACTGACCAATTTATTCAGACTCCCACAATAACATTGGGTCAGGTTTCCCTTTTCTTTAAACAACTTCAAATGGAGTGCTCTTGTAGGTTTTTGAAGATGTTTTACCTCTCATCAAAGTTCCAGTTCCTCAGTGCTTTCTTAATCTGAGTATGCCAATTCTCCTTTCCCTCTGCATTGGAAGGAACATTCTCAGCCCGGTGCTTTAAAATGGGTGGTGGGAATCGAATAGCAGATATTGGTCAGTGTGTGTAGGTTTTCTGTAAACTTCAATGTTAAGGCTTCCATCCTCCTCAACATGCACAGCACGGTTATAAAAAAAAAAAGGCAGTTGGTTATTATAAGGGCTTCTACTTCTTGTGCTTTTATTTTGACCCTGGTGTCATCCACATATCTGAAATAATTGCTTTGAGTTGTTCCCTTAAAAGAGCTCAGTGTTCTGTTTTCCACTTAGTCCATAAAGAGGTTGGCCACTGTGGGTGATACTGGAGAGCCCATGGCACAGGCATGCTTCGGTCTGTAAAAACCTTGATTGTATTTGAAATAGGTGGTTGTCAGGCAGAGATCAAGCAGGGTACATATCTGGTTGGGGATCAGGTTGGCTGGTTCCGTTCCTGTCTTGCAGGAGTCATTTTCTGACAGTCTCCACTGCCTCAGATGTGGGAATGCATGTGAAGAATGAGGGGACATCAGATGAAACTATGGTTTCATCGAAAATGATGAGAGCTGGAGTGACTACAAAACTCTGAAACTCCCCAGTCAGAACTGAAGAAGCCTCTTGGATGAGAGGTGAAACATCTTCAGGAACTTTAAAGAGAATTTCGGTGGATTTCTCCTGAAGCTCCTAGGTTTACCATGACCTGGATGACTGAGAATTTACACAGACTGAACAACTTTAGTTCCGAATGAGAATGTTGGGAACCTCACAGAACAGCCACTGGTGGTGTTTTTTGTCATTCTAACAGATATCAAATATTCTGAACAAAAATTGATCAACAATCTCTGAAATTTTTAATCATAAAAATGGATATTAGCAAAGATATTGGTAAGGGTTTGGCACGATATATCAAATACCTTCTGAGATACTCTTTTTATTTTTTCAACTGCCCGTTAACCCACTTCATATTTGAACAACCATATCTCAGGAACTATTAAAGATGAAAGCCTGAAAATATCACTGTTACTTCACATCACGCCATCGATGCATTCATTATGGGTGACTTGAAATATGAATAAAATAATTAATGCCATAATGACAAGCATCAATATTGGTATCCAGCACTATTTTTGTTTTTGTGGTATAGCTTGTCATATCTGCTTAATTAGTCCTGAAAGTTCAACAAAAACAACTGTTTTGCATTTCTGTGATCAAGTATTTATATTAAGCAATATACTATGTTTTGTTCTATATTATTGCGACATTCAACTGCACATGGTTCAGAAGATATCACTAGCTGACCTCTGCATCACACATGTTTTGGTTAATGTGTCCTTAAAGATGAGACACTTCAAGATGGCTTTACTTTCTTTCATATTTGATTTCAAATGATTGAAAAAAATTAGGTCAATAGGCAGTGTTTCTCTTTTTTCTTTAATTATCTCAGTAAATATTTGGTGTATCAAGCTAAAACTTCACAGTATCTTTTATACATATCCACAGTTTATGATGAAACCAATTCAGGCAAAACAGATGGTCAAGAAAAAACTGTCCTAAAACTGTGATGATTTGAAACGGAATGACCCTATTCTGTATCTGCAGGATTATAAACACTACTGCCAATGACTGGCCGACTGGATAATTCCATAATTAAGAAGGTGTACATTACAACAGTGTGAGTTTGGGCAGCTGTGATTTGTTCAATGATACTGGTGCTGAAAATGTATTGACATCAATATTGTGTGTATTGCTGGAAACCCGAAAAAGTGCAGTGGCAAGTTCCTGAGTGAGGTCGTGAGAAATAGTGGTTCTTAAAAAGCCTAAAAACATTAGACAGTCTGACACTAGTCTGGAGTGCCTCAGCAAAGTACTGACATCGTCAACTACAACAACAGCATGTTGTAAAGATGGCTGTGCCTAGTCAAAGCATGAACACAAGCTGCAGCTCGATGACCTCAGCTGCGTCTATAGTGCAGTAGTATTTTAGACAGACACTCAACAATGTGGCACTCTACACAACACTGCAAATTGGAAATGGCTTTATTATTACCAAAACTGCAGTGATGGACAGTATCCCCCGTTAACTTTTTATCCCCATCCAAGCCTGACATAGGCTAGACAGAACCGCAACACGTGGAAAGTGCTTTGTTAGTAGCAGCCACATTAAATTATCAAACCATCCATCCATCCATCTTCTCCCGCTTATCCGGGGTCGGGTCGCAGAGGCAGCAGCCTGAGCAGAGCCGCCCAGACTTCCCGATCCGCACACAC